CGTCACGTTAAAATGGCCCACCACTCGGGCGCAGCCCCCACCTGTCGCAACTCAAAATTTACCCACTAACACTGCAATCTAACACCACAGTCTACTTCGCCCCATCTAAGAACCCCTACCCATCTCTCTCCTTTGCCCGTTTTCGTTACGGAACGGGTGTTTCGAACGAACTTCCTTCCCGACCGTCGTCCTCCCTCCATAACTCCACGCAGTGCTTCTTCTTACTAACTTTACTCACACCCTACTAACCCCAAATTTGGTGCCACAATCGTAGTCGCCCGGGGCAGAAACCCCTACTTCGAATCTCCACTCGCCAAAAACGGCAGAGAGACTGTCGAACTAACATAATTTCTCTTTTGTTCACTCCCCTTCCGCCATAGCCCGGCGCATTAACCTTTCTTCCTTACTCCTATTCTACTAACTTTATGCTAAAACTAACTCCGTGATCGTGCTCGCAATAGGCCATAACCCCCGACTAGCATCTAGAACCACCCGATTATGTTAGGAATCGAGTAAACTACGCAACATCCATGCCCGCCATTTCCACCTCCCGCCATAGCCCGCGCACTCTCTCTTACCTATACCTCACTCCACACTCCACCTTTTGCCCATCCGCTTTCACCATCGGAATCGCCCGGGGCTAAAACGCCCGGGACACCTTTTCTCCTGCCCAAATCCGTCCTGCAATGGACGAGCTATGCCCCTCCTTCGTAGTCGTTCCCTTCGAATGAACCAGGCGCGGACCCGCGGCCAGGTCCATTCCCTCCTCCGAACCTTCGTTCCTCCTCTCTCGTTGCTGGTCACGCCCGCTACCCGCTACCTCACCGACCGCCTCACTGCCGCCTGCGATGCACAACTTGGCTAGCCCTTCGCTGCACCCGTCATCCCTCCCCTCACGATCTCTTCTTCCCGCATGTACCCGGTGCCCACCCTCGTCCGGGTTCATCCGCTGCTGTACCCTGCGCTATCTCCTCCTACCTTCCCACTTTCCGCTAGCCGCTGCCCATCGCTCTGCTGTGCCAGCACCCACTGCTCGGTCCTTCAGAGCGTGGTCCGACAACCTCCGACTCTCAACAGAAAAAGCCCTGGTTGCCGGCCCGCTCTCGTTTTATGCGGATTACCGGTGCACCGGGGCCGTGCTAATCCTCTCTGTATCGTTCCAATTTTAACGGATGTCCCAAAGGACACAGCCTGGGTCACGGGGTCAATCAGCCCCGGCCCAGGCAATTCAGAACATTTGGGTTTACTCATCAAGTTCTACCATTTGGGCTCGAATACGAGTCTGTATTTCAACAGTTCCTCTGTGTACCCACTGAGCTAGGCTCTTGGGTCCTGCCACCCCCACCGCACAGTGTCCCCAGACAGAACGGGGCGCGGTTTAAGAAAAAGGTAAGCAAAAATTATACGTATATAAAAACTGGGCAGCTCCGGCGCGGTTACGAAAACTGTTTGTAATTGCACTTCAAGCACCCTGTGAATACAACACACTGCACACGACCCCACCGCCGTCTCGCGTCCCCAACTGGGATGCGACAATTAAAGCAAAAAAAAGAGAAATAAAATAAAATAACAATAGTATGGGGGAACAGCGGGCTGCTAGCGCCCCGCCAGTCCCGCGGGCCGGCCCGCTGCCGCGCCCGAAAACAAAACAGAGGGGGATAGCCGGACGGCCCTCAACCCCATCAATGCCTTCCACGACACTCCGCTGCAGTCACTGCGTCGACGCCCTGCTGGCCTCGATCCCGGGACATCCGTGTCGTCAACCCAATGCCGTTACCTATAGGGCTAAGCCCAAGCCTAAGACCAACGCCCGCAGAGTACCATACAAGGCAGTGCGGCGCGGCGCTTTGGGCCAACAAACCGGCCGCGCGGCTCCCAGTGGCCGCGCCGGCTTGCTTATACCGTGCCATAATCGCCCTGCGTGCCATCCTACAACACCTCGCTCACCACACGAAGTCGCGCCGCCATTGCCGATGTCGTCGTCGGGGTCGTCTTCCGCACACACGCTCGATTCGGTCAAGCGTAGCCATCGAAAGAAAATATCCCCTAGAACCTAGTTTGATCACGAGTAGCCAAAAATAAAAACATAAGGATAAAAATAAAAATAAACAGACCGGCGCCCGCGCCGGTTTCGTAATCAACATCAAGGGATGAATCACACGCTTCTTAAACCTGCGCGCCCACGCACTCTTTACTCTAGTCAGCCGCCCAGCCAACGTAACCACAGACACAGCCGCGCCTAGCGCGGTATACTTAAACTTTAGGTCAAACCTTTTTCACCTGCAAAAACCAGCGCGGATACCCTTGTAAGGGTATTCGCGCCGACGCCTTCTACCACTTACACTGGTAAGTTTGCAACAGATGTCGGTGAAATATAATCTCGCATCTTCTGTTGTGACAAACATAACACTTCATCCATGCCTGGCTTCAACATGTTATGATAAAATGGATCTCGCATAGTACTGTCGCCTAACGTCCAATATAACTTATTTTTGTACGCAGAAGTTGTGTATTCGCCGGTGCTTTTCTTTTTTGATTTGTCCACGTTTTCCTGAATGCAAAGCCAATTGAGAACTGAATTCACATTGTATGATCTCATACCAACATATGTATTCGTGTGCGAAACACACACAGCTTCCACATCATGGGACGAGTGAAAGCTGTCCAAAAATTCACTTGCATCTAACATTTTTTTAATGTTACTAGCAATAGTTGCTTCTACATCGATGTGCAGAGAAAAATATTCAGGAACCCTTTTTCCGATCTCGTTCAGTTCGTTGTCCGTGTTGTAGTGTACATTTTGCATTGCATACTTCAGAATCTTATTCCGTGCTATCTCTTCAAACGATGTCGACATGTCTTCGAACAAGTATGACCTTTGAGTCCACACCAGATACCATTATATCACCACATACCCTACACAAAAGGATACACTGAACAATTGAAATGAACAACCGACAAGTCTGAAAATAAAAATGAAGAAGTCAGGTATTGAAAATATGAACATGTTTCCTTTCAATATGATTTCTTGTATGTGTCTGTATGAGTGCAATCATGTATGCGAGTTTGAGAAAGCAAAAGAGAGTACATGGGTCACTGGTTTTCAGTGATAATTGTCATACCTTTCAGGACAACACCGAAACTGTGGTTGGTAGTTGCTTATGAGTTGAAGGTAGAACACATTCAGGGTTGTCAAATGAATATGCCCCACCTTTGCATTGAAGAAGTCATGCCTTCCCTAATACAAACAAAATCCTGGTTAGTAGTTGTGAACTACTTGGAGGTCAAACATTCACGTTCCTTGGATGAATATGCCCCAGTTGATGCAACTCGTCTTGTATCTTCTC